TAATCTGCAATTTGAAGCATCAACAGGAGTTTTCAGCTCCTGAATTCTTGCCTGTTACTCACTAGCTCGTATGCTAGCTGAGCCCATGGGAACAAGTGCCATTAGCATCTCACCTTAAGCGAGATATTGCCGCAGCCCTCATTTGGCTGGCTTGGCAAGTCTGAGCAGGTAGGCAGCACGGTTTCCAGGACAGGGGTTGGCAGTTTGGGACATCCACATATGGGTTGCAAAGAAGCTTGACTGGATTGCTCCAGGAAGCAGAACAAGTCTAGCACAGATCTGTGGCCCAGGCTATATTCTTTTTGTTTTTCCCATAAGCAATAGATTGGTGCCTAGCTACATGCCATTTTTACATATATATATATATATTTATATAGAGAGAGAGGTGGGACCGTGCATAAAGCAATATTATTCACCAATAGCTAAATGTGAGATCAAAGTGTGAGGGCCATACATACTAGCCACTTGTTTAAACATTCTCATTTTCGTTCTTGTCTCTCAAGACAAGACTATCTCGTCTTTCAATTCTTCCCAAGCCCTCCTTATGTATGAAATGAATTTCACAACAAAAATTGATTCCAGATGTCTTAAGTGTATTTTTCCAGGCCCGCAATTTAAACAAGTTACAGCAATACACACCTTCACATAGTTTTTGATCATTATAATCCGAATTCTCACTGACAGCAGTGGAGATCACAGGGACTTTTCCTGGTTTCCAAAACCAGCTTTTACTAATTTGAATCCCATTCCAGATTGTCAGAAGGTCTGTGTTTTAAGGAGGATCATTAATTCAATGATCCCTAGTCCAGCTGCCCACCACATGTATAGCACTTTTTTAATTTTCCAGGACTTTCAGCTTCAGCACTGGAACCCATTACAGAGCTGGCGTCTCACAAGTGCTGCGTTACTTTGCCCCTCACCTCAAAAAACAATCTGTAATAGCAGGGTGGCTATTAATAACCGATAGCTAACTAATAGCAGGAATGCACAGAGAGGTGACAGCACGTAGGACACCAGCCCTGAGTCAACCACCTAATTTCTTACTCTGCACACTGTGTGATCTCTGGCAAGTAATGCCATCCTGGTGCCTTAGGTACACAGCTGTAAAATGAGATATTATTTTTTGGCTTCCATGCCAGATAAGTATAATCAAATGACTGGGTGACCACATGCTGCAATAACCAAGAGTTTGTAATTACCTGAGGTAAGGAATGCAAAATCAATCCCTCTGGATGATAATCATTGAGTCAGCTCCTTGCTCCTGAGGGTAATGGAGGTCAGGTGTGCTGTACGGAGTGGAAAACCCTCAATAGTAAAGTCATCATGGCACGTACTGCAGAGCCAGCTGCCAGCTGATTAGACCTGCTTTGAGCAGGTGTTGGGGTAGATGAGCTCCAAAGGTGCATTCCAACCCAAATTACTCTTGTGAGTCTGTTCTAACGCTCGCTGCAGCTCTGCAAATGTGTCCTCTTGGAGCACCGGAGACCATGGTGTGCGCCCCTGAGGTAGCAGTGCAGGAGGCAGCCTGCCTCCATCAGGGACAGACCAGCTAAGTCATGATGGACTGAACTGATTCAGGGCCACTCATTGCCTCCACCAAAAATACTCATGGCCCCTGAAACTAGAAAGAGTGTAAGTCACCATCCCTGGCAGTATTTAAAAGATGGGTAGGCATAGAGCTTAGAGATACAGTTTAGTGGTGGTTTTTGTCAATGTTAGGTTGATGGTTGGACTAGATGATCTGAAAGGTCCCTTCCAACTATTCCAACCAATTCTATGATTCTATAAGTGACTTTAGGTAGCACTGTGCCCCCACAGAGCCAATCAATGGCATGGTTTATTCCAGATGACCAGCAAGCTGGTCTACTGGAAGGTGTTCCTGCCCATGGCAGAGGGGTGAGAACTTGATGGTCTTTAAGGTCTCTTCCAACTCTAACCATCCTATGATTCTATGATCTAAAGGAAATGAAATTTTACTGCGTTGGGAAATAGTTCACATTTACCTGCCATGTCATCCTACATGGCCACTGAGTCAGTGTTTCACTGCTTCTGGCTCAGCCTGTAGTGAAACTGAGCTTTTGTGGTTCCTATTGATGCTGTGTATGTTCCATCTCTCACGAAGTGGCCAAGGGTGGGATTTCTAAAAGCCTTGTGAGCTGACATTGGAAATAACAGCTACTGGGATGTATAACCCTGTGAGGCCTCAATTTTTTAAAGCTGTGCATAAAATCAGACGATTTCAAAACAAAGTCTGATCAAGGTGGTTTAATGGACTGTGTCACGTCAGACATAGGACCTGCTACTTTCTCAGGGTCTCAGAGGTAACCGTACGGCGTCGTGCCAGCAGAGCAGCACTCCCAGCCCACAGGCAGTGCATCCCAAACAATCTTCTGGGGTGTGTTTGAAAGACAAATGAGAAACATAAGTCTTTAATTAATATAAGGGTCCATACTTCTACCAGGAAAAAAAAAAAAAAAGATTTTAGAGTTTTTGATGTGGTAGACCATAGACTTCACCCAACAAGTCTCCTACATTTCTGTTTGGGTTACAGCTTCTGGCGTCCTGGCCAAGCTTCTACTTTCTCATCCACAGCTGCAATTGTAACTGTGACCCTTGGATTGGGAGCTGGTTTCTTAACCCCTAGATAAATTCCGTGAATGAACACATAATGCTCGGGAGAGCAGATGGTATTTTCAGTGGTGACCGCGGCCTCCGGTTGTGAGCCAGGGCCCACACCGCTGTGTGGTGGCTGAAACAGGCTGGGGGAGAATTGACACCTTCCATGCACAGGGGGGCTGCTAATGTACTGCCCGATGGCTTCTTACTCCCTCGGGGGAAAGCCAGGTCACTGGGGAAGAAACTGAGTCATGCCTGGGGGTAATTAGCTGGTGCTTAATTAGCGGTGCCTTTCAGGTGTTGAAAACAAGAAGATTTGGCGCTCAGAAGTGAGGTATACATTCTGCTTATCTCAAAACACTTCACAAAGAAGCAGGTAATTGCTGCCAAGTAGGCTTTGAAGTTTAGCCCCTTGTAGTTAAGGCCAGAGAGCTGGACGGATGGGATCCCCATACACCCCACTCCTGGGGCTGCCGTCCCAAACCTGGGTGCGTTCGAGTAGTCCTGTGCTCCAAGACTTGCTCCTACAGACCAGGTCATGGGGCCTCCGCATCATAAAACACAAATAAAAGTAAAAAATCCCAGCTATTTCCACGTGCTTGCTGATGGTTTAGCAGGGAGGGAAGAGGCCTAGCATGGTGGCTTCCTAGCATGGGAAGAGGCCTAGCTGACAGTGGCTGAGCAGGAGCCAGAGCAGGGTGGGCCACCACCAACCTACGTAAATAAGGCCTAAGTAGAAGACTTGGGCCCATTATGGAGAAAAGGTGTTTTGCTGTCTGAAGAACAACATTTGCACTCACACCGGTTTTAAAGCAACAACTTTTAAACATGAATTTTAATTTAAAAAAAAAAAAAAGAAAGAATGCCAATGCATTGAAATTCAACATATACATATATGGTTCAATAGTACCTCATGTTTTGAAAACATTAGTGGAGAAAGAGAAGGGGAAAACAATGGTAGGAGCTGAAAAGAGCCAAAATTAATTTATTGTAGACTTAGAGTGTCAGTGTTTGACAAAGGAAGTGGGTATAAATGGAAACTAAATTGAAACTGAGGCTTCTCTCGTTCAACACAATCTATCACTGCTACTAGTCAGCTACAACTGGGAGTGACAATTTAATTACCAATAAACAACTTTGAAGTTGTACATGTGTTTTAGTGTCTTAATAAAGTTACAAAAAAAAGAAGCAACAACAAAAGCTGAACTCAAGCCTGAGGTTCAAGAAGAACCCTGATAACACACATATAAAACGTGTAGGGGATTTTTCAAGTCCATTGTCACACAAGGGGAATAACACACTAGACAAAAGAGATAATTTGATCATTATTCATTAAAAACTATTATTTCACCAAGCTAGAAATGCTTATCAAAGGTTTTGAGGGCTTTTTTTCTTAAATCTTTATGTTTCATAGAGCTAGGAATATTGCATTTACAATATTTTGAAGTTTGATTGTAAACTGTAAGTTTGTTTCCCTTTTTCCCTCTTTTGCAACTGAATACAATGGAATGAATGAGGACTTTGATTTCCTTCCTTTCTTATCTTTTTCCTATTCCTTTTATTATGCCTAAAATATGGGGGTTTTTTCATCCTCTCCATAGAACCTCTGTCTTCATTGTCTGAGTATTGAATGACTGTGTTTAAAATAATGTCTTTATCATTGTAAATATAATTTTACAATGGAGCAGGGAGCTTCTTTTTTGCTGAAACCTTACATTTACCTATTTTAAGCTGCATCGTTATCTTGCTTTTCATATTCGTCTCACTATTTGTTCTACTGAGGACTTGTTCCAAAAGCTATGCTTGCTTTTATAAAAAGTTTAATAAGTTTCAGCAGACCAAAGGAGAGAGAGGAAAAAAAAAAAAAAGAAGTAAACATATCTTTCGAAGGAGAAATAAAATATGTGATAAATACTCATTTTGCTTGCAGGCGACTCATTGCATTTATGATGGCCAAAATACTAAACTTCAGCCCGGGTTACATTTCCTGGCTGAGATACTGAGATTCTCAGAAATCGCGGTTTGAAATAGAAAGTCAGCATTAACCTCATCTGGAACGTAAGGAACCTCAGCGGAGGGGACGGAGCTGAGAGCGCTGCCGCTTGGGAGTCGCCGACTGAAAGAGAGGAGCCCGTCATCCTTGTTTTATTTTTAAAATATGTCAACAAAATAAAAGCTGAAAACACGCATTGTGTTTTCGTCTCCCCGTGCCTCTGGTAGAAGCATTGCTCGCATACCCTACCAGTACAGAGCATGACATGCCACAGTTTCTGCGCTCCCATCGCTCCCTCTTATGTTACTGCTCAAGTATGCATTCAGAAAAGAGCCAGCAGATATAGTAGATTTATTCTCGTTGTCGAGGTCAAGGACTCCTCTTTTTTTTTTCTTCTCTTGGATTCAGCTGAGAGGGAACTCTTTCCTCACAGCACCAGACAGGCTTTCTGCTTTGCAGTCTCCCGTCAGTGTGCACCACTGATAAAAAAGCCATGTGAAGGTATTTTTAAAGGAAATTATCAATCCATCTGAAGCACCGGTGAGTTATGTGCCGTCTCCAGTGCCACAGTTAGGGGGCTTTCAGCAAAGCACCATATCAGCATGCACTGCAATTCAGAGACTCCAGCTGCTGGAAGCTCTTGCAAGCCATGTAAGTAAAGGGCTTTATTTCACTGAAGCCAACTTTGTATACTCTCTTGCCTCATAAAAACGCTGAGATATAACCTAAACTTGAGATGAATCTCCTAATACGAGTGATGTTGTTATCTTGCTGCTGCTTTGAATAATGCACGTTGTGTCAGCACAGTAAATCAGCAACTTACCTTCCTCGAAATGCTTTGCTGGTGAGTGGTGTGAGGAGCAGGATCTGTGCACAGCTTGGGCAGGCTCTGCTTGCTTTCCCCATCACCGACAATTTCTGTCCTCTCTGTGCTATCGGCACGGAGAATTCTCTGACTTCTTCCATTTCTTGCTGCTCTGATTTCAAGAGCAACGGGAAACTGGCAGCAGAACACAAAATCTGTGTAAGGGAAAACAAGGAGCAGAGGGATAGTTCATAAAGCAACATCAGTGAACCCCAAAAGTGGTGTGTAACCCCCACGTTGAACTTGTGGTCTCGTGGAATTTTATATGCTTTACAGGGAGGCGTAAGAGATCACAGATGATGTGACTGAGAGGAACAGTAAACGACAGAAGAAATATTTTGATTGCTTTATAAAAATGTATCTTGCTGTTCATGCTTATATTTAAATTAATCGCTTTCTGTATGGCTAATTGGAGTTTATTGCAGGGATGGATCAACTTTCTCTGAGCTTCACACTGCAGTTTCAGGCCATGAAATATTTTCTTGTTCTCTGCGCAGTTTATGTACATATTGCCTTCAACAGGCCTGGCAGACAGGCGTTGAAATCCCAAATTTCTCTTCTCGTCTGTGAGGTCCACCCTGCCCTTTTGATGGCTGCCCATATGCAGATAGGGTGATCAATGAATGGAAACTGGTTGCTGTGCCAGGAAGCCTGATTACCTCCACCGACCAGGTACAGGTGGTATTAACCCGAAACAGAAATTTAACATACTCAGGGTTCTCAGTACCTTCCTGCCCAGAATGCCTCTAGTCCCCCTGCATTCCTGGCAGCCTTTCCGAAAGCACCTAATCCCTCTGACTTTGCACCTTCTATTTGGCTCACACTATTACCCCGCTCCCAATAAATTTTAGCAGGTCCTTCCCTCCAGACCCACAGGTCTGGAAGGTGCAAACTCTGCCTTCCAGCCCCCACAGGGAAATCTGTATCCCCCCACATACCCCATAGGACAACTCTATTTATTGCAGATATGCCACCACAATGACCTCAGATGCTGCCCCAAATGCCTTGTTACACCTCCCAGCCCTGCTGTTGACCTTCATTTCCATGGCAAGGCAAGAGCCAGGTGGGGAAAGGGGCCCTATTGGGTAAAGGGAGATGCCCACAGTTCATTGAGGTCAATGGGAAGGCTCTGTTTGACTTCAGTGGGGAGGATCTGCTTGATTTCAATGGGAAGAAGGCTCTGCTTGACTTCAGCCAGGAAGTCAGCCCTGGGTGTGAAAAGAGGAAGGAAATCAATAGACATGCAGGGCTGTGGAGCTGCAGAATGTTGTTCCTGGTGAAGCTGGGGTGTCACCTCCCTGAGCGAGAACAGGGGAAGGCTCTGTAGAAAGAAGGTTGCAGGGGATGTAGGTTGCAGACACTTCAGGGGGGGCAGTGTAAAAGTTTGACTCCTCTGCTGATGGAGGAAGATGTTGCTTTTCAAGAGTGTTTGGAGAGTGACAAAAAGTTTAGTTTTCAATATAGAGATGGGCAAGAGCTGAGGTAACTCTTTTATTTTATTTTTTTTCTTTGCAACTCAGCCCTCAGACACCTAGCCGGTGTAACTGCACTCCAGGGAGAAAACAGCAGTTTGCTGTATTTTTGGAATTTATGTATATTCATGTGTTCCATTAGTCTCTTGGCAAATGCATCTTTTGAGCTCTAAAGCTTTCTGAACCTTTCATATAGTCCTTTGCTTTGAAGCAACAGATGGCTGTGATAAGCAGATGGTTATGGCTTTGAATTTGAACATCTTTAAATACTTTGTTGTGTATATTTTATGGGGAGGAATGTACTCTGTCTTAGAATGCAGAACTGATGCATTAAATGAAAAGTATCCATGTCTGGATGTTTGATGTCACTTCCTAGCTTGCAAACCAATAAACCACATGTTTTTCAGGATTATTTGTTGTGGGATATTTTCACCCCATTATTCAACTTGTGTTTTCAAGTTGCAAACTGCGAAATGTGCTAGTCTGAGCTCAGTCAAAGCAAACAAGCAACAAAAAGAGTCAAAGGAGCTGCCCTGATTGTGAATTACATTCTCACTCTAATGTACACTGAGAGCAAGCTGAAATCTTCCTCTTGTAAAATTTCCCAGAGGAAATAACGCAGTGCCTATAGAAATAACTAAGAAAAAAATCTTTTGATCTCTCTTATTCTAAAATTTCATTTTTCAGGAAAATAAACCAGATAAACAGATTTGATCCAAACGTTTTGCTATTGGATATTAATTTGCTACTCTAAAACCGTTAGTTCTTTTCTCCCTCTCCATTTGACTTTCAGACTTGAAGAGATTGTTTTTTAAAGAAATCTTTTCAGACAGCCTATGACATGTAAGAACTGTTTAAATGCGATTTAGTTGATCTTAAGAATGGATTATTGCACAGATTGTCGAGGCTTTGTTAATTATAATGACATAAAATATGTCATTATATGAATTAACTTAGTGCTTACAGAAGGCACCAGCCTGACTTGAAAGAAGAGAAATGCCTCATTTCAACCAGGGTTTGGAGCTTTTGCTTGCAGCTTTGAGAAGGAACAGGATTGTTGAAGGGTTCGTGGTGCTGGAGGGGTGCTAGAAGGACTCGGTGGTGATGCAGGATGTGCTCTTTTCTTCCCTTTTTTTTCTTTCTCCATTCCCTCTGGGAACCTTTTCCTATCTCAGTTCTCCAGGACACAGTAATCTCTAATGCCAGGCTGTCACAGAACACAGGTTTTCCTCTTTTCGCACCTCAACTCAGCCTCTCTTTACTCTATGATGCCAGGGCTGGTGTTCAGCCTTGCTGGAGAGGAGAAGGCTTGGGATGGAGAAAGGGCCTGGAGTCCACTGTTTGGACTTCAGTGGCCAATTCCAATCTCTGCAGGTACAAGCAAAGTAGCCCACATGTAAGCAAAGCATGCAGGCTGCTGGCCATTGCAGTCTGTTGCCCAAGGCTAATGCCTACTTTAATTACTGCCTTGACTAGCTGTGCATTTCCTGGTGGTTTCCTCACCCAGATGTGTTTGGGGAGGGGTCATTACCCAAGAAAACAATGGACTAACAGAACCATTAGTTTGTCTAAAGAGAGCAGTTCCTTTAGTTCCACTTTGAAAGTTTTAAGATTTCTTCTGTATCCAACACTGTAGGGTTTAAAAGAGGAAAAAAAAAAAAAGGAAAAAAGAGGAAATTATTGAAGGGCTCTTTTAGTGTTATTTGACAATGTGAGCTTTAGAAATCTACATACAAATGAGAAGGAGTTGTGAAAACTTCTGATTGATGGGCTGTCTTTCCTTCTGACAATTCTAATTGTTTAAAGGCTGCAAATGTTCAAATACTTCAAAAACTGCAGGCGGTACTCTGCTACCTGACAGCAACATAACTCAGAGAGAGGCTCTCCTAAGTAAATCCTTGCAATGACATGAAGAGATTACACTCCGATGCGTGCCAGACTTCTGTATCTGCCTCAAGATATCTCTCTCTGTGGAGCCCATTACTGGTCTGGTGCAACACCTCAGCACATGTGTATTTATTTCTCTGAATACCACCTCTTGAGCTTACAGATGTGAGGACTCAATGAAAGTTGAATTGAGATCATACTAGAAGTCTGTAAAGATACAGAAAACTGCATGTAGTTTTCCCCAGTTCTGGAAATCTGAATCCATTTCTAGTCATCAATAAATAAATAGGTTCTTTGTAAAGAGGGAAAGAAAATAGTTTTTAATCCTTGCCATACTGCTGTGTGCCTATAATCTGCCCATAGGTTTAGAAGCAGAAACAAACCCTTCAAGCCTGCCAGAACACTCCCAACATAAATGTCGTACATGACAATCAGCAAAACAGACAGCAAAGGACCATAAGTAGCAAAGCATCCAGAGGTGACAAATAGGATCATAGAATCATAGAACTGCCTGGGTTGGAAAGGACCTTTCAGATCATCAAGTCCAACCATCAACCTAACACTGACAAAACCCATCACTAAACCGTTTCGCTAAGCACTACATCTACCCATCTTTTAAATACCTCCAGGGATGGTGACTCAACCACTTCCCTGGGCAGCCTGTTCCAAGGCTTGACAACCCTCTCAGTGTAAAAAAAATTCCTAATACCCAGTCTCAACCTCTAAACCAATACGGAGAGCCCAGACCAGTTACCATTACTGTGGTTCCAGTAATGGAAAAGCTCTTGGCAGGTGAGGAAGCAGTGCAGCAGCATCCCAGTTTGCAGATGGAATCTAGCCTGGAAGATGCTCTAAGCTGGCCACTGCAGTGGAGAGTTGCAATGGGAACATGGCCTTTCTTCTTGTAGGAAAATCAGCCTTCCTTAGTTATCAATAGCTGGAAGCTATTAATGCAACCTGTCTTTGAGTGACTGCCCATTTCTGAAGTTCAGTGAACTAGCATACTTGATATCTTAAATGTAGTTGGGGGTGGGGGAGAAATCTGCTTGTGTTCATATTCCAGAGGGAATTATTTCTGTTATATTTTTAAGGTTTCCTCTGTGGCTTTTAGGATGTTTCCTGAAATCTGCAATTACATTAATGTAACATCTGCATCCAGCTTTTTCTAAAATAATGGTAAAGCAGACTACGTGGTAATTAAAACAATTCTTTCTCTGAGCTCTATCTCCCTTTTTGGTTTATCAGCTGGTGCTCTAGCAAGTAGTTTCTGCCTTGAGGGGTTGATGATAGATAGTTCAGTGAGATAGCTCAGTATCTCACTAACTTGTCCCTGTGAGGTCCTTGATAACACTGAGAAAAAATTCAGTGTTCACCCCAAACTGACTTTGGCGGTTATCAGTAGATCAGATCCTTGACAGCACTGAAAG